GGTACAACATTCCTGACAGAAGAGCAGGGTAGCTCATCAGGACATCCTTTACTTCACACAGAATGTTACATCACAAGCATAAGGAAAGTGTCTCTTTTATTAAAAAAAAAAATAGATGCAAAGGATTCATATATTTGCCTGATGCCTCTCTTAATCCTTTGGCATTAAAATCACTCTCTGGCCAGACACAGTGGCTCACACTTGTAATCCCAGCATCTTGGGAGGCTGAGACGGGCGAATCATGAGATTTGAGACCAGCCTGGCCAACATGGTGAAACCCTGTCTCTACTTAAAAAAAAAAAAAAATTAGCTGTTCATGGTGGCACATTCCTGTAGTCCCAAGCTACTCTTGAGGCTGAGGCAGGAGAATCATTTGAACCAGAGAGGTGGAGGTTGCAGTTAGCCGAGATTGTGCCATTGCACTCTAGCTTGGGCAACAAGAGTGAAACTCCGTCTCAAAAAAAAAAACTTACTCTCTTTCTTTTGCAATGCCTAAGCATTGGTTTTCCTTTCCATTTATAACTGGAGAAATTGCCAAACTAAACAGATTAATAGTTTTATATGTGATTCATACAATTCTCCAACATCATTTTTATCTCTTCATGAAATCCCACCATCTTTTGCAAGAGGTGTTATTTCACTGCGCAATTGACTTGCATTACCCTTTCATTGTATTCTGTGGCCTTGTGCTACTGTCTGACAATCAAGGTGGGACAAACCATAACAGCCCTGGTCCCTGCAAGATGCAGATGGCATACTCACCCGGACTGCATAACTGAGGGGAGTTTAGTAAAGAAAACTTACAAAATGTTGTTAGGCAGGATTGGGGGAAACAAGCAAAGGATGCTGAAGGATATCTGGGTTAGCATCAGCAGGAATCCATTACTACCCCTCCCCCAACCCACCTGTGACACAAAGAGCTGTAGCCAGAGGGGAGAGCTGCCTCAAAGGAGCTGTGACTTAGGTCACAGTCATTCCTTTAACCCAGCTGAGAGGGAGCTGAGAGGGAGCTGAGAGAGCAATTGCCCTGATTTCACTCTCTTCCTGTCTTCTGGTCTCCTGCCACTGACTCCCAGTGGCCAAGCCCTAACAGATTCCAGAGAATAAAGAAGCCCCTGGATTACACTGATAAAGTTCAGCTTCCCAGGACAAAAAGTTGGGTAGAAAGGGGAAAATTGAGCTGGGTGCAGTCGCTCATGCCTGTAATCCCAGCACTTTGGGAAGCCAATGGGGGTGGATCACCTGAGGTTGGGAGTTCAAGATCAGCCTTGCCAGCATGGTGAAACCCCATCTTTACTAAAAATGCCAGAATTAGCTGGGCGTGGTGGTAGGCAGCTGTAATACCAGGTACCGGGGAGGCTGAGGCAGGAGAATTGCTTGAGCCTGGAAGACAGAGGTTGCAGTGAGCTGAGATCGTGCCATTGCACTCCAGCCCGGGTGACACAGTGAGACTCTGTCTCAAAAAAAACAAAACAAAACAAAACAAAAAAACCCAAAAGGGAGAAATTGGATCAGGAGGGACAAACAAAAATACCTCTTATACTGACTTAAAACATGTGTATTTTGTGACTCAGCAGACTGACATTAAGTGGGAACAAACTTTATAGGTGGTCAGTTGGTTATGGACCTTCTCATTTTATAAGATTCCCTTGCTGTATTACCTCATAACTATGGTGATTTGGATAATAACTACTAGGCAAATGTAATCTCCTGTAGTTTCCCTTCTAGGGAGAAGATTTATCTTCTACTGAGAAGAGAGTAGAAACAGAACAAGGGGTAAATTGGACTTCTGTGTGTAGGGGCATATTTTTGTATACATACACACATACAGAAAAGTGTCATCTATGTTGCATGAGTGAATTTACTGAGTTAGCCAGGAATGATGGGCATTTTGGTCACTAGAAATGCTTTCTGTCATTTTAAAGCGACAAGACATATTTAAAATATAAGATTTTAAGCCTTAACCACCAGTTTTATAATATAACCTGATTTACAAGATTTAATGAGCAAAATGAAAGTTTCAGAAAGGAATTAAGTTGAAAATCACTCCCTGTTGTATCACACTTTCAATGGCTTAAGAAAAAAGTTAACTTCTGATTCCTTCTGTAAGTCTCTCAGAAGATATGAAATGAATGTCATCTAGAATAATGATCAAAATCTACTTGGTTCTATACCTTCAGGGTAATTTCCCTCTTTTTGAACATCCCACTGGCCAGTATGGGACAAATAATGACAAAGGAAGCACAGCGCATCATCCTGATAAAAAGCTTAGTACAGGAAAAGCACTGGTTTATAGCGGGTGTTTTTCACTTATTTTCAAGATGCTATCTTCTTAGTACCCACCCAAATAAGAAACAGACCACACAGTATTGTAAAGGATTCTTTTAAATGTATCACCCCTCCAACATACAGTCACGGGACCCTCTGGGAGGCTGACCATGACCCACAGCTCAAAGCCCTCATGCATCCTCAGCCTTTCATCTCTGGAGTCTCCTTGCCTCCTCTGGTTGTTCTCTGGGACCCAGGTCCTCGCATGTCTGCACTAGTTCAAGCCAAAAAGTTGTATCTTGGGTTGCTCCAGAAGTGGACTCTGAGACAAAGATTCCAGGGTAAATAGCTTCTTTGGGAGGTCACAGAAATACCAGTAGGAGAGCTGGGGAGAGAGACAGGGAAAAGAAAGCAGCCCAGAGTGGGTACTATCAAGCACTGTGCCCAACTGGAGCTTAACCTCCTGGGGAAATGTCCTGCGAACAAGTGTAGAACACATAGCTCAGCTCAGGGTTGGAGGGCTGGAGTATTTATATTGAGTATTTCAACCAACTCTTATCAGTTGAAGGCTGCTTGCTATAGGCATTAATTAATTCTCTGCACTTCGAGTCTGCCATAAAGAAAGGCAAAGTGGCCTTTCTTTTCTTTCTTCTTTTTTTTTTATGTCTCTATTATTAAACACAATTAAGGCATACCCATTTTTAGACTGCATTCTACCCCAGGCAATAAAGCAACACCCCTGTTCTCTCTCCCTCTTCCTCTTCCTCTTTCTTCCTCTCCTTCATTCTTTTTTTTTTTTTTTTTTTTTCTTTTTTTTATTAATTTCTCATTATTTCTCTCTTTAAAAAAAAAAAAAAAAAAACAACCCAGAGTCCTCCTCACTCATGGCCATGAATTATTTTTTAACCTGCATATTAGAAATAAAGGCAGGACCATTCAGTCTCCCACACCCTTGTCCTTTAGCACAGAGGTTGAAGAAAAAAAAAAAAAAGAAAGGCAAAGTGGGATTTGGAGGCCAGTGATAACTCTCAGTCAAAGAAGTTCAGGTAGTGGCAGTTGGAAGACAGACTGGCAACTGTAGGGTAGATCCGGAGAGCTAGGGGATCAGGCAGACCTCCACAGCATCTGCTCCGCCGTGGCTCTCTCTAGACACGCTCTCTTCCTGTCACCACCAACTCAGGGGAGCTATTTTCTTGTCTTGGAGTGGGGAGAACCCTACCCTGTCTACTCCACTTTTCTCAAACATTTTGTGAAGTTCTTAAATTCTCTAAGTTCTTTGAAAGAACTGAGTTTAGGGTTGGGCGTGGTGGCTTACGCCAGTAATCCCAGCACTTTGGGAGGCCAAGGCAGGCAGATTACCTAAGGTCAGGACTTCAAGACCAGCCTGTCCAACATGGTGAAACCCCATCTCTACTAAAAATACAAAAATTAGCCAGGTATGATGGTGCTTGCCTATAATCCTAGCTACTTGGTTGGCTGAGGCAGAAGAATCCCTTGAACCTGGGAGGCAGAGGTTGCAGTGAGCTGAGCTAGCACTATTGCACTCCAGCCTGAGCTACAAGAGTGAAACGTCAACTCCAAAAAAAAAAAAAAGTTTTGGAAACACCAAAGCCAGAAATTTAACAGGTGCCTTTGTCTATTCTACCATATCATCACAGAAGAAAATATACACAGAGCAAACTGTCTGTACAAATGGATGAAAAACAAAAGGTGGAAATAATAGGAGGTTTATCTCAGAACTTTATCTTTTCCTAGAATCCACTGTTGCTACCACCAACATGACCATTAGTTATTTTACCACTGTGAGCACATCAGAAAACATTATTATGAAAACACTTGTGAATACTAGTCTTAGCAAGTGTGAACCACTGTGGTCAAAAAAATAATATCCAATCTTTGACATTAGGAGCTTATAATCCACACTTGATTTTATTAAAATCCATCAGAGTATTTCTCTTCAAGCTATGATGGAATGACTTGTAGTAGACTAATGCTTCAGCTGAAAACAAGCAGAAAAGCTAGAGAAAACACAAGATAAGCTTGTGTGAAGGCATTGGAGAAATGCTGGGATAGACCCCAGGACTTTAGGACCCAAACTCCTAGAGAAAGGAAAGTTCATTGAGGAGAACTCAGTTATTTTTATTCTACTCATCCTCTTAGGACAATTGCTGATTCCTGATCCAAAGACAGTAAGATTCAACTGCGCAAAAAAAAAAAAAAAAAAAAAAAAAAAGGCTGGGTGCGGTGGCTCACGCCTGTAATCCCAGCACTTTGGGAGGCCGAGGCGGGAGGATCGTGAGGTCAAGAGATCGAGACCATCCTGGTCACCATGGTGAAACCCCATCTCTACTAAAACTACAAAAAATTAGCTGAGGGCGCGTGCCTGTAATCCCAGCTACTCAGGAGGCTGAGGCAGGAGAATTGCCTGAACCCAGGAGGCGGAGGTTGCGGTGAGCCGAGATCGCGCCATTGCACTCCAGCCTGGGTAACAAGAGTGAAACTCTGTCTCAAAAAAAAAAAAAGGGGATGCTAAGAATCAGATAAGTCTGAAGAACTTTTAATAATCTCAAATAGGAGTGGAAGGCAAACAGGAGCTTAGGGTTGCCAAGGCAGTCAAGACTTGAAGGGCTGAGCATTCAAAGGGAAGTGAAGTTCAGAAAAGTGGGCCTGACTTCCGAAACAAGCGTTGCGTTTCTCAGGAGAAACTCCTAAGGAGGATTCCCGGAGTGACGATGGCTACCTACAGCCTGGCGAACAAGCGACTATGCGCCCTGGAAGACATCGAAAGGAAATCGCCGCCATCCTTCACATCCTTTAGAATGCAGGTACAGTGATCCTAGAATTGCCCAAGGAAAAAAACCAACCAGCAGCTTCTAGACCAGCAGGCGGCGGCCTTCACCGCTTCAGTGCCGCACGTGGAGGCGGAGCTGTCGGCTCAGATCCGCTACCTCACCCAGGTGGCCACGGGGCAGCCCCATGAGGTCTCCAGCTACTCTTCAAGGAAGGACTGTCAGACGGCTCTGAAGCGAGTGGACTATGCCGGCCTCAAGCTCAGTGATGTGGCTTGAACCTGTGAGCAGATGCTGGAGAACTAGGCAGGGAGGTGGACCCAGAGCTCAGAGGGAGACCATTGCCTGCGCCATGGGACAGAACCTGGGAACATGTACGATGGGGAGCATGGGCACCCACATGCCCTGCTGCTCAAAGTACACTTGGGGAGGCCAAGGCCAGAGGATCATGTGACGTAGGGAGTTTGAGACTAGCCTGGCCAACTTCGTGAAACTCCGTCAAAGACAAAGGGGCAAATGGTGGGCATGGAAAAACTGAAGCCCGAGCCTGCCCACAGCTATGCCCTGGCCTCTCCAGCAGGGTGCTCCTGCCCTGTACTCCACCAACACCCTGACAGGCTCAGACAGAGATGGAAACTCACACATCCAACCCACTTCCTCAAACACTTTATGCTCCTGCCCCAGGCTTTGCGCAGACTTGACCTGATGAAGATACATTCTTCTTCACTGGGAGAGACAAAATAAGAACTAGAATTTTAATAATAAAAGCAACAACAATAAAAAAAAAAAGTGGGCCTGACATGCCACACTAATTTCTGCATTGAGACATTTGCTGATTCTTAATTTTTGCAATGCAAAAGCCTCAGAAATCTCTGACAAAACAGCTGGAAAATAAAACAGAGGTTTTAGTGGCCTTACATAGCTGGGGAGACAAAAATTGGAGTCTAGTCTCTCCAAGCTCTAGTAAACACTCAAGATCTCTGCTTAGAGCCCAGGGTATATACAAAAATGTAGGTTTGAATGAGAGGTAGATTCAGACTTACAAAGACTGCAACATAGTTTTGAACCAGGGATTTACGTAAACTGCTTGTATTTGAGCTACCTGGCAGAGAATAGGATTAAATTTCTCTGAAGAAAGATAAATCCTCCTTAGTCTTTTCAATTTTTGTGTATAATATTTGCCATTTAATTAAAGTATCAGGTATGTATGACACAAAGTTAATAGAAATAGGCAATAAAAATAGACCCAAAGTGATCAAGATATTTCAGTTATTAGACACAGGAGATATTCATATATTCTTTTTTTTGAAAGATGACAAGTTAAAGGATTTCAACAGAAAACTCTAATATACTAAACTATTGTGAAAATTTTAGAAATTAAAAATACAACTAAAATTAAGACCTAATAAATGCAGCACATGGAAAACAGCTAAGGAGAAAATTGGTATATTTGAAAGTCAGTAGAAAATTTACACATTGACACAAGGATTAAAAAAAGAATAGAAAATATTTTTAAAATGTTAATAACATGGCTGGGCGCGGTGGCTCAAGCCTGTAATCCCAGCACTTTGGGAGGCCGAGGTGGGTGGATCACGAGGTCAAGAGATCGAGACCATCCTGGTCAACATGGTGAAACCCCATCTCTACTAAAAGTACAAAAAATTAGCTGGGCATGGTGGCGCGTGCCTGTAATCCCAGCTACTCAGGAGGCTGAGGCAGGAGAATTGCCTGAACCCAGGAGGCAGAGGTTGCGGTGAGCCGAGATCGCGCCATTGCACTCCAGCCTGGGTAACATGAGTGAAACCCCGTCTCAAAAAAAAAAAAAAAAAAGTTAATAACATATGGATTAGAATGAAAAAGTCTAAAAATATGACCTAGAACTTCAGGAGGAGATAGATTGATTGGGATATAGAAATGATATTTACAAAGATAATATCTGAGAGTTTTCCAGAACTGATGAAAGACATGATACCACCGCTGTAAGGATCATTCTTATCCTAAAACACTATAAACAAAGATGGAAAAAAAACCATATACCTAGATACATTATAGTAAAATGAAGAATCTTAAAGACAAAAAGAAAATCTTAAAAGCAGAAGAAAAAAAAAAAAAGACACAGCTGCACTTTTAAATGAGCAACAAACAATAAGGCTAACAGCTGACTTCCCAACAGAAACTTCAGAAACCTGCAGACAATGGAAAGATATCTTTAGGTATTGAAAAGAAATACTTGCCAAACTAGAAATTTATATTCAATCAAATAGACATTCTTTAAAAATTAAGAAAAACTAAAAGCACTTTTGAACCAACACAGAATTTCTCACCATGGGTACCCACACAAGAAACACCAAATTAGGCTTTTAAGGCAAGGGAAATAATCCCAGACTGAAGTACAAAAATGAATGGAGAATAAAGGAGAGACACACATGTACAAGTGAATAATACATTAAGAAGAAGAACAACAACAACATATGTAACTTAAAATGTGTGTACATTTAAAGTTCATGACAATCATATCACAAAAAGCAGAAAAGGAATAGAGTTAAAAGTCCTAGCCTGAGAACTGGTAAGAGAACTAATTTGTATTGAACCTTAAAAAGTCAAAAGCACAGGTAGTAGTCTCTAGGGTAGCCATTTAAAAAATAGTAAAAAAAAATAAAGCATATACATAAAAATTATAGAATAATAACATTTTTTAGTTATGTAAAATAAGTTTTTTTAAAAAGGCTAGATAAAAGGTATATGTAACAGGGAGAACGGCAGCTACCCAAACAAATTACTGATTACCCTAAAACACTATTAAGACCAAATGATCTATTTAAAATACAAAGACTTAGGCTAGATGAAAAAAAATAAAACCCCAAACCCAATTATATATGGCTAACAAGAGGCACATCTTAAAATAATGACAAAATAGGAAGATTGAAAATGAAAGGATGAAGTAAACTGTGTCTTGCAAACACTAAGGAGAAGAAAGCTAATATACCTTTACTAACCTATCAACCGCTAGTCAACTGACAAGGTAGACTTTAAGGCAAGAAACATCACCAGAGATAAGGAGAGGCTTTCTTAATAATAAAAGGTTCAATCTTCAAGAAGCATATGAAAATTATAAATTTGTATTTACTTAAATTACATGGTTACAAACTATATAAAGCAAAACTGAACTAAAATAAACCAATCTACAATCTTACTGGGACATTTTAACTGAATTTCTAATGAACTCACAAAACAAGGTAATAAAAAAAATTTAGTAAGAACATAAATGACTTGCACAACATGAGTAAGATAGTTGACCTGATATATAGAAAACTGCATCCCAAAATGCAGCATTTTCACATCTACATGGTATATTTACCTAACTTGAACACATTGTGGTCCATAACACAAGCAGTGAAATCATTCAGATCATCTCATCTAAAAGTGAAATTATGCCATAAATCAGTAACAAAATATAACTGCAAATTTCCAAATGCTTTGAAATTAAGTCATACATTTCTAAACAAATCATGGATCAAAGAAGAAATCAGAATGAAAATTAGAAAATATTTTGAAATAAGTCATAAGAGGCTCTGTTTTCAACAATGTTGGAGGAGCGTGTGTTAGATTAACTTACTGACAAATAAAAATTGTAAACTCTGGGCAAAATACTAACAATCACTGAACAACAGCAGCAATGAAACCAAATGACTATTTATAAATTATTCATGTCATAATAAAAGTGCTTAAAACCATTAAAAGAAAAAGATTATAAAAGCTTCAGACAAAAAAGACAAATTATGACAGAGGAAGACACCAGCATATCTCTTGGTGGAAACAATGCCAATTAGAAGACAGTAGAGAAAAGTATTTAAGGTACTGAAAGAAAAAAAATCTGTCAACAAAATCTTAACTCAGCAAAAATGAAGACATTTTCAAGCATACAAAAGCTGGAAGAATTTGTCACAATCAAACTTGCACTTCAATAAATGTAAAATGAGATTCTTCAAGCTGAAGGAAAATGATACAAGATGGAAAACTATCTACGCAATGGAATAAGGAGCACCACTAATGGTTAAGTATGTGGGTAAACATAAAGCTTCTTCTTACTATTTGAATTTCTGCAAAAGATAATTTCTGGGTAAAAGAAAAATAATAACAGTGTATTTTGAGGTTTATAATATGCAGTAATCCCCTCCTTATCCATGGGTGATGTGTCAAGACCCCCAGGGATTGCCCGAAACCACAGACAGTACTGAATCCTAAATATACTGTAAACAAATTCCTTCTTCCTTCATTGCAATTTCATGGATAGAAGATACATTCTTACTGTAGGCTTTAGCAGCCTCAGCATGCCATTGTTTCTTTCCTGATTGCCAATAACTTTCACCTCTTCACTTAAAGGAAGCACTTTGCAGCTTCCTTGCCATATCTGAGTTGCCATCATCACCATTCTTGTGGTTTGGGGGCATTATTAAATTAAATAAGAGTGACCTGAACACAAGCACTGTGACTCCATGACAGTCAAGCTGATAACCAAGACATCTACTAAGTGACTAATGGCTGGGTAGCACATACAGCATGGATACACTGGACAAAGAGATGATTTATGTCCTGGGTGGGACAGAGCAGGTTGGTGTGAGATTTCATCATGCTACTCAAAAGACCATACAATTTAAAATATATAAACCATTTATTTCTGGAATTTTTCATTTAACATTTTTGGACCATGGCTGACTGTGGGTCATTGAAACTGCAGAAAGCAAAACTACAAAGTGGGGACTACTGCATACAGAAGAAAAAGGCATGACAGCAATAGCACAGAGCACAAAGGCCAGGAGGGGAGAAATGGGTATAATCTATTGCAATGTTATTAAACTATATGTAAAGTGCTTTATTTTACCATTTGAAGATAGATTATGATAAGTAAAATTTGTATATCATAAATCCTAAAGTGACCATTAAAATAACAAAGCAATTACAACTAATAATCAACAAAAAGATAAAATTAAATCACAAAGTACTCTCAATCCAAAAGGAGGCAGAAAAAGAAGGAAAGAGAACATACAATAGGAAAATAAATAAAAAATAAATAGCAAGATGATGGAGTGAAATCCAATTGTATCAAAAATAACATTAAATGATCTACTACCTCAATTTAGAGGCACAGATTATCAGATAGGCACACAAATAGGTTAAAAGTAAAATAACAGGAAAAGAGATACCACAGTAACACCAATCAAAAGAAAGCTTGAATGGATATATTAGTATTCCAAGGACAAAGAGGGTCATCTATAATAATAGAAAGAGATCAATTCATCAAGAAAACATACAATTCTAACATTTATATATCTAAAACAGATCTTCAAAATATATGAACCAAAAATTGGAGGAACTGTGAGGAGAAATAGAGACATGCACAATTATAATAGATTTCACCATCTATGTCTCCATGATTGAGAGAACAAGTATACAGAGAATCAGTGGAGAGAGAAGATGATCAATCCTACCAACGTACCTGAAATAACTGACACTTATGGAACATTCTACCCCATAACAGCAGAATGTACATTTATTTCAAGTGCACACAGAAATAGATCAAAACAGACCACATTTTGGGCCATAAAACTATTTTCAATAATTTAGAAAGGGATCAAGTCATACAAAGTGTTGTTCTCTACAATGACATTAAATCAGAAATACATTACAAAAATCCATAGAAAATCCTCAGATATTTTAACACTAGATAACAGACTTCTAAATAATGTGGATCTCAGAAAAACAATCAAAAAGGAAGTTAGAAAGTATTT